TCCTGGTCAGCCTCATCATTTCAAGGCGGGTAACCTGAACTATGGTCTCGACGAGGTACACAAGCTGCCTGGAGGTGCTGGTCAATTCATGGCAGCTCTGGATGCTGATATGGTAAGTCATTCTCGCACATTGATCAACGACATACTTACAATTACAGATTCCCGAGCGTGACTGGCTCCGTGCTATTCTTCCTCACATGCTCATCGACCCCAAGATGGCCCTCGCATGCCCTCCCCAGCTCTTCTACAACACCCCTCCCTCGGACCCCCTCGCCCAAAGTCTCGATTTCTTCGTCCACGTCATTGAGCCCATCAAGGACGCTCTAGGTGTCGCTTGGTGCACTGGGTCAGGCTACGTCGCTCGTCGTGAGGCTCTCGACGAGATTGGTAACTTCCCTCTTGGATCTCTGGCCGAGGATGTCGCTACATCGACTCTCATGCTCGGTAAGGGATGGAAGACGGCTTTCATCCACGAACCTCTGCAGTTTGGTACCGTTCCTGAAGACTATGGCGGCCATCTTAAGCAGCGAACGCGATGGGCTATTGGAACTGTCGATACTTCCTTCAAGCTGAACTTTTGTCTCTGGGGCGACAAGGTTCGCCAGATGACCACCGCTCAGCGATTCTCGGGTTTCTTGTACGCCTCGTTGAGCATGTACACCATTCTGCTCACTATTTCTCTCTTCGCCATTCCGATTATCCTGATCATGCAGAAGCCTCTTGTGGCATACGCTACCGATGAGCAGCTCCGATGGTTGGTCCGCGCGTGCTTCGCATCTGTCATCTCCAACCGTCTCTGCGAGTTTGCCCTCTTCATCCCCGCAGGTTATCACACCGGTCAGCGAGGTTCGCGATACCAGCTCTGGATGTCTCCTTACATCGCGCTCTGCCTCATCCGATCGTTCATTCTGCCAACATGGCTGGGCGGTCAAACTCAAGCCTTCAAGCCAACAGGTTCGCTCGGCTCAGCCCTTAACGAGCGCGACCCAAAGCTCCGAAAGAACATGTTCCGACGACTCTGGGGCATTCTCATCAACTACATGGCTCTTTTCCACTTCGCCTTTGTGTATCTGACCCTCGTCGCTGTGGTCCTCACATCGTTCCGATCATTCGTCACGACTCACACCGTTCGCGATACACTCACCGCCCTTCTCACCCACGCATTCTGGCCACCTCTTACTTTCCTCTTCATCTGCAGTTCGCTCTGGACACCGATCTCGTACGCAATTGACCCGCCGGCCATGCCCGACCGCGAGGACCTGCTGAACCGAGATCCCAAGACGCAGGTGGCGCATCCCACCACCCAGAGCAAGAAGATTGCCTTTGGCGGTCAGGCTGCGTGGTTCGAGTTGGAATACACGACTACTACTATTTATACTTGCCTGGTCTTTGTGTGCTCATTCATTTTCTAGAAATGAGATGGGGCATAATAACGAAATGAACTGTTACGAATACTGTATGAGGGGCTGATACATACGAGGGAGGGAGCCCATGCTTCGTGGATGAGATGAATAGGCGCAAAGACCAATTGGCAAGGGTACTCATTATTTGTTACTGGGCTGGATTTTTTTTACATGGTATAGTACATAGTGCACGCATCGCATCAAACATAAAGATAGAGATCAGCCCTTAAGCGGCATACGAATAATAGAATGGCATCAATTATCACATGAACCTCGGGGAGCGATAGCGAGTGAGAACGGGAAATGTAGAGCTAAAAATACCAAGCGTGATAAGGCCTGACGCCTAAAGCAAAGCGTTTAATGCATGCAAAAACGATGATGAATGCTGAGGTAAGAGAGTTTGAGCTGGGATCTCAGAATACCAATCAAAGGCCTCTTGGGTTCCAAGGTGCCTTTTGTAAAATTGCCGATATTGGGGTCACATATGACCTAGGTCGCGTTTCTTCTCGAGTCTCTCAATTGCCTTCAACTCAGCTTGGAAGCTTCACCTCCACGCATGAAAGCATTGAATCAGTGTCAACACGTGAAACCTTGACTCGAACAGGCTTGACTCAAGAAGAGGCGCTTAACCTTGGCCCCAGTCCACAAAAGCTCCCTTGGTCCGTCCCTACGCGACTCATCATCAATCAGCACCACAGAAAAAAGGAAAAAAAGAGAAGAAAAAAAACCTCTCAGTTCTAGGTATTTGGCGGAACAACTCTTGTTCCAGAAGTCTTCTCTGCGGCGCTCTAAATAACGTGACCATTCAGCCACTCACGAAAGGTCAGACCCTTATCTGCGAGTGCTCCACTCTCTTCAGGAACCCAAGACAAGCATGTGAGATTAGATCTTGTCGTCTCGAAATTGCCTCTTCTCTCTGCTCTGCTCTGCTCTGCTCTGCTCTGCCATTTTAGCCTTTCGTATCAGAAAGAGGCGATCTCCACGGCGCATTATTTTCTCTCTCTCACCGCAATTGAAGAGCTCTCAACAAAATTGTATGTAGCACTGTATGTATAGCAAGCAGCAAGGCTCCCTTGCAAGAAAGAACCCACTCGGTTAACCTCTGTGCTAAGCTCTCACAGCTTAAGGGTCCTTTTTCGTAGCTCCACATCGTGAACACGTCTCCCTCAACTCTCCATGATCTCCCGCACATCGTGGGGCCGTGATTGGCCTGCCACGAGTCCAAGTTCTGGACCCCTATTCATGGGTCCCTGAAGTTTTGGGCGGTCTCTCTAAATTCTCAGAAAGTTTTTTCTTCTTCGTATCCATGCTATTTCGGATTAGGTCAAGAGCCGTAATCCTGAGACGAGGTCTGGTCTGGCATGGTATAGTATCGGTACCTTAGCTAGGTAGGAATAAATAAGAAGAGCTTTGTTGGGGCGGGAACCTTTTTCTTCTCCCCGTCACCCCCCGCCTCTCATCTTTCTCTCCTCCTCTTTAAACTTTCTTCCTCTTCCTCTCGAGTGAATCTTGCTTGCTTGCTTGACAATTGCATCTTCTGCATACGTTAGTACAATGGCGACTCGACAGCGAACTGCCACCACTGTTGTGGTCGAGGACCTCCCCAAGGTAAGTCAAGTCGGTTAAGCAGCTCCCCTCAACGCACTCCTAACTCGTATCCTGCTCAGGTCACTCTTGAGGCCAAGTCTGAGCCTCAGTTCCCCGATATCAAGACCATCAAGGATGCCATCCCCGCGCACTGCTTCCAGCCTTCGCTCGTCACCTCATTCTACTACGTCTTCCGCGACTTTGCCATGGTCTCTGCCCTTGTCTGGGCTGCTCTCACCTACATCCCCAGCATCCCCGACCAGACCCTTCGCGTCGCAGCATGGATGGTCTACGGCTTCGTCCAGGGTCTCTTCTGCACCGGTGTCTGGATTCTCGGCCATGAGTGCGGCCACGGTGCTTTCTCTCTCCACGGAAAGGTCAACAATGTGACCGGCTGGTTCCTCCACTCGTTCCTCCTCGTCCCCTACTTCAGCTGGAAGTACTCTCACCACCGCCACCACCGCTTCACCGGCCACATGGATCTCGACATGGCTTTCGTCCCCAAGACTGAGCCCAAGCCTTCCAAGTCGCTCATGATTGCCGGCATTGACGTCGCTGAGCTTGTTGAGGATACCCCCGCTGCTCAGATGGTCAAGCTCATCTTCCACCAGCTTTTCGGATGGCAGGCGTATCTCTTCTTCAATGCTAGCTCCGGCAAGGGCAGCAAGCAGTGGGAGCCCAAGACTGGCCTTTCCAAGTGGTTCCGAGTCAGTCACTTTGAGCCTACCAGCGCTGTTTTCCGCCCCAACGAGGCCATCTTCATCCTCATCTCCGATATCGGTCTTGCTCTTATGGGAACTGCTCTGTACTTTGCTTCCAAGCAAGTTGGTGTTTCGACCATTCTTTACCTCTATCTCGTTCCCTACTTATGGGTTCACCACTGGCTCGGTAAGTTCAAGATCCATCGGATCGATCGACTTGTTGCTAATTGATTAGTTGCCATTACCTACCTACACCACCACCACACCGAGCTCCCCCACTACACCGCTGAGGGCTGGACCTACGTCAAGGGAGCTCTCGCCACTGTCGACCGTGAGTTTGGCTTCATCGGAAAGCACCTCTTCCACGGTATCATTGAGAAGCACGTTGTTCACCATCTCTTCCCGTAAGTCGCCTGTCTCGATGGCACAAATTCACATCTAACAGCTCGCAGTAAGATCCCCTTCTACAAGGCTGACGAGGCGACCGAGGCCATTAAGCCTGTCATCGGCGACCACTACTGCCACGACGACCGAAGCTTCCTGGGCCAGCTGTGGACCATCTTCGGCACGCTCAAGTACGTCGAGCACGACCCTGCCAGACCTGGCGCTATGCGATGGAACAAGGACTAGAGCTCCGGGTCTGGTACTCGGACTCGTACTGGTCTGAATATGATAGACAATTGTGATAGACATAAACGATAGATCAAGTTAGACACGACACGCGACATACGCGATTAGAAGGAAACTAGACAAGCTAGAGCACTTGGCTTTCGCGCTTGGGACGCAATAAAATGGAGTTTGTTTGTTAAACTGGAGATTGAAGGGAGATTTGTTGAGTGAGGCACAGTCTGAGTGAGATTGATCCATGATTCGATTCAATCCCCGCACTTGTCGCCTCCGGGGGCGTTTAAATTATCTTCCGCCAGACGCCAAGTCCGCGTTCGTTCCGCCACTGGAGTCTCTGAATGTGAGGTAGACAAAATCGTGACACACTGAGATAACAGAATAGGATAAATCAGATATCAACTAACTATTCTCTAGCGCAAACATGAAATTGGATTGGGTAGCATCATAGATATCCTCACATTTCGCCACGATAAGGGGTGATGTGATTTTCAGGAGATTGTCAAGGTTCAAGCCCATGTCAAGACACCCTAGAACCCCCGAGCGCCCCTGTTAATGCGGCGGAGTTTGGCGGGCTTTCCGCTGCGCCATATCCGACAATCTGATCTGGTAGAGAGGGAGAGAGTGAGTGGTGGGTGACACTGGAGGTTTCAATCACTTGAGATCTGTTCAATCAAGAATCGATATGGAGACTGCACAATCAAGTAGACGAAAAGGTGAGATTACGACAAGATATCAATCACATGGAAATACTCTAATGTCACTCTGTAGCGTGCGATTTTTGCTCGTCGCGGAAAATTAAATGCGACGGGCGCAAACCGGGCGCAAAGTGCTCTAATTGCAGCGTATATGCTGTGACTTGCCAGACGACAGTAACAAGTCGAAGAAAGGCGCCTCGGAATGGCGGAATCACCCCGGCGCCCTCAAGCCAATCTGAGGCCCAGTATGTACCTGCTTAAGTGCCATTTTGTTGTTGCTGTTACTGATGGCAAAGACCCGATCGTGTGGCTGCTCTTGAAGAGCGCTTGGCTAACATTGAGGCTCTCTTGACGGCGCTTGGAGGGCGAGTACAGCAAACACAGCCAGGACTCGACATTTCTCTCAGCGATATTGATGTCTCTGGGCCTTCCAGTGGTTGGGGCATTTCGCCAATTCAGACACCGCTTGACGTAGCCCACCGCCAACCCACAGCCATCTCAAATGCGGGCTCTCAATTGACCAAGGCTGCCATCTCAGATCAGCTCCAGCTCGCTCCTCTATCGGACGTCCTCCCGCTCGTAGACAATTATTTCCGCAATTACAACAGCATAATTCCACTGTTCGAAGAGAATTCATTCATGCGCATGCTTCTCGATTGGTACTCCTCATCCACAAAGCGCTCCACGGTCGCATGGGCTGCTATAAATGTCGTCCTGGCCATCAATTATCGCGTCCTTGAGGGAAAGACAATGGACGACCCTACATTTTCCCAAAGTATCCGTAATGTGCGCTCTGTAATGTCGGAGTTGATGATGCAGGGCCAAGATTTGATGGGACTGCAAGTGCTACTGGGCATGGTGATCCTGTTTCAAGGGTCTTCAGAGTTCCAACTCGCTATTGTTTTAATTGGGAGTGTCATTCGGCTTGCACAAAGTCTACGGTTGAACTCGAAGAAGGCATTGGCAGGACTCCCGAAATCGGAACAGGCACATAGGACTCGTCTGTTCTGGCTCACATACATCTATGACAGGGCATGTTGAACTCACCAACTATACCCATGATGCTAACGACGGACAGGAAATGGCTCAAAGGTCCAAATGCCCTTATCACCAGCTAGACTGTGAAACAGACATGGACCTACCAGAATTGAATCCTGAAGAAAATCTTGGCATCATCACCTCATCAACCGACACAATTCGTTTCAACTGCCTCCGTTCATGCGCCAAGTTTGCATTCATCCAAGGAAAAGCCTATGATCTTCTCTACAGCCAAAAGTCGCATACCCTCACACCAGAAGGGAAAGCCAGATCAATTGCTCTGATAGAGGAATTGCTTAAAGACTGGGTGGACGAGATACCCCCAGAGCTTCGTACCAGAGAAGGTATTGACAAGAGGTTATCGGTATCCCTATTAGCGAGAGATATGATGACGAACCTATGGTCTCGTCATATTGAGACCCGGATCAAAATTCACTCGATATTTACCTTTGAAGATACATGGATCAATAGAGTGCGGCGGTATCTCTCACCCGCGGTGATAGATATCAGCGACGACGTTGATGGGGAGGTTAAAAGAGCAGACCTTACACCTCTACCAGCAGGATGGGACGAATGCGTCGGTAATGCTCGAGTTTGTCTGGAATTAATCAGTTCGTCAAAACTGACAGAGTATATTCTATGGTAAGTCCCCAACCCATTCATACTGATAGCACTGACTGACGTGACAGGCTTCATACATGCACCGCACTCCCATGCTTGATCCTCATCATAGTCAACATGATTGAGTTTCCAGACCATGATCTTGTGGTCCAGGATCGAAATCTTCTGGATAGTTGTTTTGGAGTTTTTGATGGTGTGATGAAATATCTGCCGAAAGAGCCATTTGACACAATACTATCTATCTCTCATCAGTTGGATCGAAGGGCTAAGGGGCAAGTATACCGCACTACGTTGGCGAAGGGGGTTATGTCCTATGAAGGTGACTTTCAGATGACTCCTTCGACCGCGTGGGCGCTTTTGGACGATATCGAGTTTCAGTGACGAATGAATTGGCCACCATACTTTTTCGATCTATGGGGTAGTTCAGTCCATTTTCATCATAATATCTTCAATCCTGGCTTGTATCATAGACAGCGTATTGGGCAAGCAATTTTATGTAAGAGAGATGAGTATATATTCTAATACCGACGGTTATGATCCAGTTCTTACTGCGCCCACTGTTCCAATGATAGCCCTCTCGTTCGCCTTGGTCAACTCTACACCAAAATACTTCCTCAGAGCATCCAACCTCTCATCTTCCGTCTTGAAAGTCTTTTCCCACTTAGTCTCCCCACCCTTCCTATACTTGAATAAAGCCCCATCGATGATAAAGGCACCATCAATGGCACCACCCACATTTCTCAAGTCCCTAGCGGTCCCGTCTGAATAATCCTCATTCTCAGAAGTGAACTGCACACTGACAACCTTGAAAGTGAAGAAACTTGAAGGACTTTTGGAAGGAGACATGTTGAAGACTCGAATATCTTCTGGCAGAACCTCATAGTCCATGAAACACCATTGAGGAACCCACTCGCCTCCGTCACGGGATCGATATTCGTATATCCAGAGCTTTTGATTGCTGAGATTTTGTGCGATTGTATCATGCCGCAATCGCATTTGAAAACCACTTGATCCTGTATGAACACGTTCATGCTCAACTTCCAACGGTTCAGTCGGATTCCGCCCCCCAAAGCCAACATCAACGGCATAAGTCTTGTCATCGATAATCACCAAGCTGAGACAATGCGAACTACCGCCAAATCTCCCAGCATCAGGGTTAAAGACCCTTGATCCAACCATGTAGGTATGATATCCCAGCGAGAGGAGAACTGTGTTAAAAAAAGTGTTGTTCTCCATGCAGTAACCGCCTCGCCTCTCATTCACGATCTTATCGTAAAGATGATCGGCGTTGACGTCGACGGTACGATGCCATGAGTAGTGAAGAGTAAGGTTCTCAAAGGGAACTGTGAGAATTTGCTGTTTTGTCAAAGTGTTGAGGTAGAAACGTTGATCTTCAGATGAGAGGCTGCTGATGTCGTACTGACGATCCGATGCCGGGAAGGCAATACGATCGTAGTACTTCTCGAGCTGAGACTTGCTATATCGAATTCGATCCGCCATGTTGGATTTGCCCTGAAGTTGTTCCGAAAATCATAGTGTTTGGGACTATATATCTTGTTTGATGTCGGTTATGGGATTTGTCATCCGTCATCGGGCGGCTATGGGCGTCGGCTCTTGGAGACTCACAATGTGGATCGTACTTACCAATGAGGTCATTGGTCAAATGATGTGACGCTATTGAAGCTGAACCATGACATCGTGGCCCAGCCATGACCCCGGAGAATGCTCATATAAAAGTTCTGCAGTGCTTAACAGTAGGTAAGCAGGCAGTATACCACTTATAAGCTTAATATTGAGGTGGCTTTTAATGAAACGCCACTGGCTTACTAACCCAACGGTTCCCACCGTTTTCGAAGCTAGAATGACTGACTGGGCCAGTCTATGGAGAATTAGTGACATAAATTCGGAGGATTGATTGAAATCAGTACTGATTATCACTCCCGCCGACTAACAAACACGTAGAGTGAGCTATCCCGGAGCGCGAATGCCGGGGAGTTCCGCGGAACTCCGAGCTACCCGGAACTCCAGCCAACTCCGCCAAGCGAAAGGATTCACTGATGAATTAGCAAGTCAAGCCAGAAAAGCCATAGATTTATATCGATATAAATAGTACAAGAGTCACCCTGAAATCATCATAATTGTCTGTTTCCAAGTTCATCAGCACAGTTGACGTGATAGCATATGATCTTCCCAAGCCATCACAATAGCTCACCTACACCATCAACATGACTGGAACGATCATCGTAACCGGAGCTAATGGCTCTCTCGCCCTCGCATACATATCACACCTCATAAAAACCCACCCATCGTATACTATCCTTGCAACAGTCCGCAATGCATCTCCGTCCGATCCTAACACCGCTCAACTCTCCTCCATCCTCTCTTCTCACCCCAAATCCTCCATCGAAGCTCTCGATCTCTCTCTTCTCTCAAATGTACGGAGCTTCTCCGAAAACACAGCGAGCAGAGTAGCTTCTGGTGAAATACCACCCATAAAAGCTATCATCTGCAACGCCTTCACTATGTCTGTAACAGAGCAGGTTTATACTCCCGATGGCTTTGAGAGGACGTTTCAGGTTAACCATTTATCTCATTTTGTTCTGGTGCTAAAGCTGATTGGGAGTATGGCGAGTGATGGGAGGATCGTGATGCTTGGTTCGGATACGCACTATACAACTCGAACGCATCCGCTTTTTAAGCAACGACCTGGTATCCCGGAGGATATTGAGCTGTTAGTGAAGCCGTTGCCGGATAAGAAGGGAAAAGAGTACGATGGCGGATTCCATCGGTATGGAAATTCGAAGTTGGCGAATATCATGTTCATGCACGACCTCAACGCCAAGCTTGAAAAGGTAAGCTCATGTAACTGTCTCAATATCAGCAAGCTGACATATTAGAATCCCAAGCTCTCTGGTATCACAGCTATAGCAATGGACCCAGGCGGCATGGTCGACTCCCGTGCGCACAAGATCCAGACACCTTTCATGAGGTTCGCTTTTAGTCTTGTGCTTATATCACTCCCTATTCTTCGACATTTCACCGATACCATGCGGCCAGCAGCGCAATCAGGTCGAGAGCTGGTAGAGTTGAGCGTTGGGGAGAAATACAAGGGCACAAAGGGGTATTTCATGGGGGCAAGACGGGAGGAAGAGGATATTGCGTGCAAGGATGCCCATACGAGGGAACTGTTGTGGAATGCTTGCTGGAAGTGGGCTGGGATGAAGGAGGAAGACACTGTTTTATTGTGATCAAGGTTTGGGACTTGCATGGTCGAGGGATAATATAAGGTATCGAGACGGAGGTGTCTTTTTGCCATAGTGCTGCAAGACCAGAAGGAAGATATGATCAATGGCAAATCAATTTCGTGGAAGAAGGAACGCAGAGGAAGAAGCCGATGGATGCAAACAAGAGCTACACTGAAGATTGAAGGCAGTGAATGCCGTCAGAAGTATGATCATAAGATATCGAGTCTCAATTTCTATATTCAAGTCTACAGGACCCATGTACACCTAATCACCAAACAAACCGAAACAGAAAACGCCCTCTGAAAGCCATGCATGAACGCCTTAGCGCTTTAGTACAACTGCAATCTGTTAGCATCACCCTCTTAAGCAACGCCTCAGGTCAACTTACCCAGTTGAGCAGCCACATCACTCCAAGGATGCCTGCAACGCGCATGTGAAGGCCAGTCGTAACAGACTTGGCAAAGTCCTTTGCGCGGTCCAAGTGGACGTTGTTGAGCATGGGCATATTCTCCCATACAGGCTCGACGATCTTCAGCTCACCCCCCTCTTCGTCATCTTCCACAATCTCTGGAATACCTTGCTTTGGCTTGGCCTCACCCAGAATGAGCTTGACGATCCTGCCGGATGCTTCAGCAACCAGGTGGCTGACCCAGAAGAAGATGGGGACGATGACTGCGAGATCTCGCCAGCGGTCATTGAGGAGACTGGCATCGCCCTTGAAGATGTCCAAGAGAAGGACGCCCTTTGTGTCGGCGGCCAGGAAGATGTGGAACTGCAGGATGAATGTCTCGAGAGAGCATCGACCGAGCCACGCTGCTGCAGTAGAGTAGTAGTTTCTCATGGTAACAGTAGCGTTTCGAAGAGCGATGAAGGCAAGAATAGGTACCGCCGCAATGACCGGGTGCATCATGATGTAGACCTTTCTGTCACCAGTGTATGTGCAGAGGTAGGCATAGCCAAGGATAGACAGGGCGGAGGGAATGATGGCAGCTTTGAAGTTGGTGTACCAAGCAGAATCACGCTCGAGTCGCTGTTGCGCAACACCAGCAAGCATGCCGACAAACACAATGGCTCCATCAAGGGTGACTCTGAACATCCACTCGTCGAGATTCCACTTGATGCGGAAGACGACATTGATGATTGCGAACGCCCATTGGGTGAGTGGGGTGAAGTTGAGAATGACTGTAACGAGGATGAAAGAGGCGAAGATCTTGCTCGTGACGATCTTGACACTATCGTTGAAGCCAGAGCAGATAGCCATGGTGGCATAGACGACCATGAACCAGAAGCTGACAAGAGGCGCAAAGTAGTAAAACATGTAGTCCGTTCCCATGACATAAGGAAGGGCACAGCTCAGCATGTTCAAGCGCAGCATGACACTTGCAATGCGACGGAATGAAAAGTCCTTCTTGGAAAGGAAGTAGATGGTATGTCCGTATCCTGTCTGGAACAGGTAGGCGGCGACAAGCAACCGGATAAAGATGTAGATGGGAAGATTCTTGATTGCACCAGTCCAATGGTAAACGAGAATGGCAGCCTGCATCCAGCCCTTCCACTCTTCAGTCTGATCTCGGGAGAGAACGCCAGCATCCTCATCAATTGTCACGGTGGCAGTGGTAGGAGCGGCGGCAGCCTCGGCAACTGGAAGACGAGGCGCACGGAACTTTGTCTTGCGGATGGTGAGGCCGGCAATGATGAGGCAGATTGAAATGAGGAGGTAGAACGCGTTTGGAATAAACTCCTTCATGCCTTTGGAGAACAGATGGGTACGGTCGGCAGCGAAACAGTAGAGAAGAGAGACAGCAAACATGCCAACCTTCAAATCGAGCCACTTGATCTCGATGGACGAGACGAGAGTGACGCCCTCGTAGCAGATGCACGCAATGACGTAGAGAGTAGTGAGACCAAGAATGGCAATCTGAACCCATGATTGCGAGGGGTAATCTGTGCAGCAGGTTCGAGTGTAGGGATATCCGTTCATTCGATCAAGCTTGGCGTTGCATCGGGCATTGAGCAGGATGTTGGCTTTGATCTCGGCGACGGTGTCAATGACGTGGAAGCCAGTCTGAGTCCTGTCAACAATAGCCTCAGGCTGATTGAGTGAGAGTTGAGGGAAAGCTCGGAGCAGACGGAGGTTGTGCTCCTCTTCCTGGCTGTAGATGACTTTGTCAATGTTTTCGACCTCGCCCTTGTGAATACCCTTAGGTCCAGTGCGGGACTTGGGGAGTTCATTGTAGTATGGAGGCGCGACGGGGGCGAGGAAGACCTCATTGCCAATGCCTTCAACGGGGTCCATTGGCCCTGTACCCCATTTGGTGAGGTCTCCCAAATGGAGGATGTCGGTGATGTTGTCGAGAGCCACGGCGAATCGCTTGTCAGACTCGTTGCCGAAGAAGTTACCGGCGTACCAAGCACCAGCGCCCAGCATGATGAGGCCAGGATCGGAGCCGTGATGCACTTCCTTTCGGTTCGCTTTCACTTCAGCGGACTCCTTGACGTGGCGTTGCTTGTGCTTGTCCTCGCTGATTCGCTCGAGCTGTTCTCGGAGAGGGTGGCCTGGCTCGGTATGGTAAAACGGGTTCCAGATGTGCAGCATTCGGACGCCATTGAAGGTTGTGTTGTAGCTTCGGTGAGGTTTGGCTTTCTTGCGACCTTCCATGGCCTTCTTACGATCCAACTAATCACCAGTCAGTAGCAGAACAATGCGCGGGTGCGGATATCATTTACCAATCGCGCAGTGCCCCAGTATATCTGTCGTGTCGTCGAGTCGCCCGAGAAGACCAAATGGCGATCACCCATGCAGTCCTTTATGTCCTGCGCTGTGTAATGATGCAGCATACATCCGTCAGGCTGCCAATTTGTGAAGGGCTTCCTCGCGCCCGTCTCGTCCGGAGCATGGATCCAGCTTCCATTTCGTTCACTCTCGCCCAGCAGCGCTCTACATCGATACGGATCATCCGAAGAATAGACATTGTGAAACGTCAACGAGCCCAGCAAGACCAGACAAAAGACGATGGGGAGAAATCTGGCGGCAAAGGCCATGGGCCGTGATGATTCCGACATGATGTGAGAGAATGTGGTTATGCGTCGGGTGAAGGCTAGAAGCCTGCGAAGTGACGAGATGAGAAGATAAAGAGCTCTCTTGGCCGCAGACAAGTATGAAGAGACATTCTGGTGGCGTAGAAAGGGTTGCGTCCCTTGCTTTACCCCCTGAGACCGTTGGGGCATGATGGTATGAATGGAGGACGCTTGGAATGAACTAACGGCATGCCTAGATTGAGTGTGTGTCCAAAAGCAGTTGGGTTGGGCTGGGAGGGCTGAGGAACAAGGAGAGACAAGAGCTAAAAAGCCACGGGGGGAGAAAAAAAGAGGGAAACAAGGTGAATCAGAAGGGGATCGGCTAAGGAGAAGGAATGAATGAATCGTAGTAAACAAAAAAAAAAAAGAAAAGAAAAGAAAGAGAGACAGAGACAGCGTAAAACAGCCGACGATGATAGTGTACAAAGATGCAGTGTCACCTGTCACAACGGATTGGCCACGCACACAAAAGGCAAGAAGACATTGCTTTATTACACAGCACTTACGTATCGACCCCTAGAAAAGAAAAGAAAAGAACCACTCAACGGAACCTAGCAAGACTCCCTCCCACTTCCCATGCCCATGTCCACGTCCAGGTCCCCTCATCTCTAAACTAACTAAAGCTCATGTCAAGCTCAGTAGTCAATCGTTAGTCTCCCTCCGCTACAGCACGGACATCCAATAGCCAGCGCCACGCAATAAAGCCCCCCTGACTAAAGCAGCAAGGGAGCCCCTTCAGCTCTGCGTTCCAGCACCAAAAGCCCCTGCATTCCGCCAAAACAAACAAGCTTTTTCCATTCCCGTGCCAATTTTTTCTTTAGTGACAGTCAAGCTTAGATTAGGTTGGAAAACTTAATCGCGTGCGTGGCCTGTTTTCCCCACTGATGAATCAAAAGGAGTAATTATGCATACCTACATACTTCGGGATAATATTAACCTTATAAATTAAATAAAAACTCAATTAATTTGCTTTCCCTGGGGATCTTTATTGCCGGTTTGTTTGCCGCGTGTCAACCCTTGGATTGTCATGTCAGTTCATGAAAAAAGCGCCACTGAGAGTAGCGCCACTTTTACACATTCAGTGAATGCTTGTCTGCCCTGATCTTCGAGGACAGATATGCACAGTAGGGGGATACATAGCTTTTGTACAGTATCTACGTGTTCCCCGTCTCGTTTCTTTTTGGGTGACGAATCTGATACAACTGTCGCACCGATCGATCTGTCATTTCTGTTTGTTTGTTGTTTTTGGGTTACAGAGCGTTACACGTTTCTGTCATGATTCAACTGCCGGAGGATTAAAGCTTGACATTCAACGAGGATGTGATTTGGTGGTTTTAGCGGTGCTTAAAATTGGTAGGGTGACACTGAAGGGGCCCTGGAGGGAAATCGTTTCAGGGCTTGATTGATTAACCGACCGGACCGGGGACAGAGCCGGTACAGCTGGGGCCCCGCACCGCATCGGCGTGAGCTTCCGATTTGATCGGCGATAAATAGCATCAATACCAGTACTTGATCATGAAGTAATATCAGCAATCGACATAATAAGCAAGTAATAATCTGCTCAAAATGTCATTCTGGATCGAGACAGAAGACTGGCATACTGCCGGCGAACCCTTCCGTATCGTCCAATCCCTCCCGGCAGGATATCTTCCCGAGGGCGAGACTGTCGCTCAACGCCGCCTTGCCGTCATTAGCACCTCAAATCACCCTCTTGATCAACTTCGACAATCTCTATGTCACGAACCCCGCGGTCATGCTGATATGTATGGAGGTTTTATAACGCCGCCGAATGATCCCGGTGCTCACTTCGGCGTCTTGTTCTGGCACAAAGATGGCTTCTCAACAGCGTGCGGACATGGGACCATAGCTTTGGGGTATTGGGCTGTCACAAAGGGTCTTGTTAAAGCGCCCGAAAAGGGGACTGTTGATGTCGTTATTGATGTACCTTCCGGGAGGGTTACCGCGAAGATTGCCGTGAAGGATGGAAAGCCGGTTCATGGCGACTTTATCAACGTCAAGAGTTACCAGATTGCCAAGGACTTATCTGTCAATTTGCCATCACGAGGTATCGATGTCAAGGTCAATCTCTCATTCGGAGGAGCTGTCTACGCTACTATAGACGCTGCTCAGCTAGGCCTCAAGGTTGAACCAAGCCAGTACATCAGCTTCATCAACCTTGGACGCGAGATCAAAGCTTCTCTGGGCACTAGAGCACATTACGAAACATATGATCTATACGGTGTCATATTCTTCAACGATGAAGGTACTGGACCAGCTGGAGAGATACTCCAGCGCAACGTCACTGTCTTTGCAGATGGCCAGATCGATCGCTCACCCTGTGGCTCAGGCACAGCTTCAAGAGTAGCAGTGCTTTTGGCCGAAGGAAAATTGGGAGCTGGAAAGTCAAAGCTTTTGCATCGATCTATTATTGATACGGTATTTGAAGCAGATATTATTTCTGAGGAGGAGAGTCCTGTCGAGTTTCCGGCTTGTATTCCGAGAGTGAGAGGAACGGCTAACTTGGTCGGGAGGATGAACTTCTTTATCGATCCAGAGGACAGAGTATTCCCAGGGTTTCTTCTGAGGTAAAGAAGCTTTAACGAATCAAATAACAAGTCCCCAGAAGTGGCATGTTCCATCATTATTCATTAGTATATATAGCACGCTACTATAACCCGTGCCATGCTTTCGTACAATCTTTTCACAGCCCATCTATGCCAGGTTAAGATTTTGTGTATACGGACTGACAAATGTGTTCCAATCATTCGAATCTCCGGTAACCAAAACCGGTGAATCCTTTTGGGTATGTAAATCTCTCATGCGCCAGACTTTTAGAATCACCGCTTTTGTTCTCTCGACATTGGCTAAAGTCAACCCTACCATCGCATCAAGAGTCTCCAATACAAGCTGTCTTCCGGATAAGAAGGTGCCTTGATCACCGTGAGCGAAGATCTTGTCGTCATTCAAGGGATCCAGTTCCACGGCTGCGACGAACAGAGGGAACAAAAGTCCTGCGGCGCTGCCTTGTTGAATAAGGTCGCGAATGCTGTGCAGGACCTTGATGACAAGTTGTGAGACCTGGGGCGTAGAGGGATCTGCATCTCGAAGCAGACAGTGAAAGTATATCTGCACCGAAGTCTTCTTCAGATCGACACATCGTCTGACATTCTCATCCATCGCCTCAACAACGGTGATATTGGAGCTGACCATAGCCAACTCCCTATCAAGCTCCTCGACTTGGAGCTCATAGTCCTCTTGAGACATATCTCGGTTTCTTGTCCTGGCTAGTTCAGTGATCTTGAAAATCACAGATGCCATGGCCGGACTGCAACCCATCCACGCATCAATATCCTCTGTATGATCTGGTCTTTGCCAATATTCCAGGCCAAAGATAGGTGAATTTCCACAAGCTGTTCTGCTGATAACATCTTGAAAAGCAAAGTATCGCTCTGAGAACGCAGCAAGACTTCCGAATGCTGAGTTCTTACTCGACGGAAGTGCAAGTTGCCGACGTTTCCGCATAAAGTCCTGACTTGCCCGTAGATGAAATACCCATCGATAGTCGCCGTTGTCAAGGATTTCATAAAGGCAGAGAAACATCATTGTAGCAGGGACTTGAGGATCCAATATGACGTCTGCGGTGACATCTGGAGATCGAATTCTCTGTAGAAGACCGGTAAGGGCTTTGCCTTTCATCTTCATTGCTGTACGTGTCCATGATGGATCAGTGATGCTTCGATGTCGAGCCGAGAATGCAAGGACAGATTGAATGAGAAGATCCTGCCCAGCATGGGTGAATAGAGGAGCGACCATGCTTGCGAAAGGTGACGAGAGCTGTGAAGAAGGCGTTGTGAGAGGACATAATCGCAGAAGATAGTATTCGAAAAGACTCGTTTCAAAGGTGCTCAATGTAGGGAATGATGATATTGAGGGTATGAGTCTTGGTGGTGATCGTGACCTCCGAATAAGTGCTGAAGACGGTTCAGTCTCATCCCTCAACTCCATAGCCTCCCTAACAAGACTCTCTTCGTAGTTTGGATCATGAACAAAGTCACTATAATAAGTATTGATAAAATGTCTCGGCCCAATAGCCCCAAACCCCCAAGCCTTTGGCGAATGAACCTGCGGCGGTCGTCTCTGCCTCGCCCCATCCTTACACCAAACACCCTCCCGCCCAAACGAGAGCCCCTTTGCAGTAAACTCAGCCTCCCATTTCAACTGCAGCGTCGTATTACACGACAATCCGCGGGAGACGCAGTTCCGACATGCAGGTTTAGCTTCGTCGCATTTTACTTTGCGGGTCCGGCACGTTTGACATCCTGACCTTGTTCGTCTCTGGACGGGGCCGGTTTTGCCGGGGGGACGGCGGCGCGGCATTGGGGGGAGATGGGACACGGAGCAAAAGTGCCGGGAGATGGAGGAGGATTCTTTTGCTTATGAGAGTGAGTGGTTGATCGTCTAATGGTGAGAGTGGAAAAGCGGGGGGAGTTTTGGAGGAGGAGACGGTGCTTGATGGGGCTATCACCTGATGATAGCGAATGGGCGATTAAACCGGTTTAGATCCGGGGATAGGCCAATCAGATGTACAGTGTGAATCTGTGATTCGGCTGGACCTTCGACGACATATCTCGGTTGGACCTTCAATGGAGGCGATAGCATTAGACAATTCCTATATGTTTCAAGGCCCCGAGCTGATTATTCCCATTCTTTATCCATCGTATCTAGCATTGTGTTCCTACATTCACTATCATGGCCTCAACTCTCACCAAACAGTGCCAGATTCTCATCGTCGGTGGCGGAACTTGGGGATGCTCAACAGCCCTCCATCTCGCCCGTCGAGGCTACACCAATGTCACAGTTCTCGATGTCAATCATATCCCATCACCCATCTCAGCTGGTCATGATGTAAACAAGCTTGCAGGTGGACTTGGTGAGATACTCTATACATAGAACTCAAATACTTGACTAACAAAGCAGGCACGGCTGATAGCAAAGGCGACGACGAGGACTCAATCTGGAAAGCTCTCACGTATGCTGCGGCCCAAGGATGGCTCCATGATCCTGTCTTCCAACCATTCTGCCACAATACGGGATCTGTGATGGCTGGCTCAACACCAGAGTCTATCAAGCAACTCGTAGAAGATGAGATCGGTGACGACATCGACCAGTACATGCCTCTCAACACGGCAGAGGATTTCAGAAAGACTATGCCAGATGGGATTCTGACAGGCGACTTTCCAGGCTGGAAGGGGTTTTACAAGCCCACGGGTTCAGGTTGGGTTCATGCTCGAAAGGCTATGAAAGCTGCTTTCGAAGAGAGCAAAAGGCTTGGTGTCAAGTTCATCACTGGTTCTCCCGAAGGAAAAGTTGAGAGTCTGATCCTTGAAGACGGTGATGTTCGAGGTGCAAAAACAGCAGATGGAAAGGAACACAGAGCGGACCGAACGATTTTGTCAGCAGGTGCTTCAGCAGAGTTCTTCCTCGATTTTGAGAACCAGATCCGACCTACAGCGTGGACTCTGGGCCATATCCAGATGACACCAGAGGAAATCAAGCTGTACAAGAACCTGCCACCTCTTTTCAACATCAACCAAGGCTTCTTCATGGAACCTGATGAGGATCTTCATCAACTCAAGATGTGTGATGAACATCCCGGATACTGCAACTGGGTTGAAAAGCCAGGTTCTAAATACCCCCAGTCCATCCCCTTCGCAAAGCACCAAGTGCCAATCGAGGCTGAGCGACGCATGAATAAGTTTCTGAAAGACATCATGCCTCAACTTGCAGATCGTCCCCTCGTTCATGCTAGAATCTGCTGGTGCGCTGATACGCAGGATAGAATGTTTCTGATCACCTATCACCCTCGACATCCCTCACTTGTCATTGCTTCAGGTGATTGCGGTACAGGATACAAGCATATAACATCGATTGGAAAGTTTATCTCTGACTGTATGGAGGGTACCCTCGAAGAAAGATTTGCCAAGTTCTGGAGATGGCGACCGGAGAAGTTTACTGAGTTCTGGGGTAAGGATCCCTTGGATCGGTTTGGAGCTGACGACAAGATCATGGATTTGCCCAAGAGTGATGTGGAAGGGTGGACAAATATCAACAATGATAACTGAGTGTTTTGATTAGAAGGGAAGCTAAGAATAAAAAACCAATGTATCAAAATTCGCCCACCATGTATCTACGTCAAGACATTGACAGCATCGCGTAACAGAATCAAGATATCTTTGGCAAGAGCTTCCCCGAACAGGTCCTTGAGGAAAGCCAACAACATTCTCATATATCCTGATACCAAGATTCATGATTCTTCTCTTGAAGCATCAGAAAACGCTTCTTCAAGCCTGTCTTGCAATAAGATTCCGCCATCCTCGGAATCTTCGCTCGACAAGACGTTATCACCTGATTTGCTGTCTGAGAAGTGCACAAGTTCCCAGTAGACTTCTTCTTCTTCTTCCCGCAGTTCCCAGGCTGCGACTTGCTCTCTCGGGCAGAATTGGCTGTGTTTATGATCGTCATCTTCGCAAAAGAACTCGAAGGAAGACAGACAGACACCGCAATCAACGCAATCGAGCGTTTCCACACAGCATAGACAGCTTTCGCATAGTTGGCCTCGTATTGGGGGGCAAAGGTGTTCTACCGTGTCGGTTTGTCCGGAGGCTGGCCACGGCTGATCGTCCCAGTAAGGACAGTCACCTTCTCTGCCGTGCCACAGCTTTTCAAAATCTCCACGTGTGTATCCGTGAGTATATCGTGCTTTTCGTGGATAATGCCGCCGAGTCTCTAGAATGTCGTAGCCAAAATAAGTCAGGGCTGCGTCCCAGAGATCACCTCTAGCTGAATGACAGAAGAGATAATCAGCTTCACAAGTAGCGTTGTAAGCGTAGTGCGAAGCCAGATATCCATTATCATCAGTAGCGTAGGGATCACCGCCATTTTCTAATACAAACATCAAAAGATCCATATATTCCGGCATGTACTCGATCCAGTCGCATTCTTTGATCATAAGCCAGTGTAGACTCGTTCGTCCATGAACTGTACCATTAATATCGTACCCTTGTTTAGTAAGAAACTGTATCTGTCGGTGTGCCTGATATGGTTCAGAATCTAGTCTCCCATAGCTCTGGGAACAAACCGTTGGAATCAGATCGTGATATTCGGAGTGGATTGAAGTATCACGGGCAAAAGGACTTATATAAATCGTCTGTTCCATTCTGATACAGCCATCCTCTGTCTGGCTGAGGTTAGATTTGAAACTAGGCGAAAGAGGAAACAGACACTCACATCGCCATCTGTAAGAAACCTCATCACATCAACGCGTTTTCTGACCGATAAAGTAATATCGGCCCCTGCATGGAGCAAAGCTTCGTAGTGTTCTCGTCCATGATTCAAGGAGAGATGCGATGGAGTTCTGTTGGATTGTTATTCACATTAACAAACACAATAAAGAGCTACCCATACATCTGACTGTCACAATCTGATTGATCTGCGACTTCGTCAACGTCCAATCCCTGTTTGATCAGGAATTTTAGAACAGGCAGGTTTCCTACTGAGTGCTGGATTAAAGACAAATAAGCTAATTATGCGAGTATACCTTGACTGTCGAAACCTTACGTGTAATAATGACCACCCATAAGCATCATGATCATGAATATGGGCCTCCCCGCCCTCAATGAGCTTGAGAAGGTCTTGGACTGAGCCGTTCCGGGCTATATCAAAAACAGGAGAGTCTTTGGGTTTGATATTACAGACCACGATACTAGGTAGCATGCTGCTGAAACTGCTGAACAAAAGCTGCCTCTGATTCACTGATAAGCTGAGCATCTTCTTTGTTCTTTTGGACATGTAGGTCAGTTTTGCGAGAAAGTCTCCTTTAGCTTCATTTTTGGCGTTTTCAGTTTCGCTTTCAGAAGATGCCTTTCGACGTCTCTTAGCTGTAGTGACGGTTATAACTCCATCATCTGTTTCAAAAGCTTTTCTTTTGGGTTTTTGCGAAATTAGAAGCTGTTCGCCAGCTGGTCTCCAGAATCTTGTTGCTTCTGAAGAAGTAAGTCACACGATCATATAAATCACAGAGACGTACCAGTTTGATTGATCATCATCGACGGAGAAGAGAGGATGATATTTGTCATAAGCTTCAGTTCCTTTGAAACGTCTTGGCTGCAATTCTGGCAGGCCCCTTCTGACTCGACAGGCTCTGCGTCATTTCGGATACATTCCAGAAGATGCTCAATGTCTTTCAGGAGCTCTTCTGAATCATCGGACTCGACCACGCATGGCTTCTTCTCTAGTAGTCGCATCAAACGATTGATACTATCATCCAATGATGTATCCGGTGAACAGTCCATCTCTTCATCGTCCACCTCCGTCACTCTTGCTGAAGTGGATGATGAGTCCTCCTCGGCGATGAGGGTAGCTGTATTGGTTGTTTGTAGAGCAGATATGTCTTGTTTCAGTTGTTGGAGAAGGTCAAGAATTTGAGTTGACTGAGTTGCTGTAAAAGACCCCTGTTGCACCTGAATAAGATTGAGCCGAACTGTCAGATGTTGCACATGGCCTCGAACAACGTGTCGGACCTGGTCGAGGTCTTTTCCTGAGAAAGAAAGCTTCAACTTTCTCCAAAGGCGATCCCCTCGACCATCCGAATTCGCCACATCGAGAGATTTCAGCCGAAAGTTAAGTGCGGACAAGTCATCTTTGCATTTCTTCGCTAAACCGTTCAACTGAGACTTATCGATATCATTGATAGAAACAAAGGATACTTCGTCTAGCCGTTGGAGAATGCTCTTGAGCTGAAAAATCTCATCAGTGAGGAGACGGATGACCTGAGGGCCATCTTTGATGGCCGAGAGTGCCGAATGGATAGATTGGGTCACAGAGAAAGCGACGGTGATAAAGGTGAGAATGCTGGCACCAGCGCCGACAGCCTCCATTTATTCGGATATGGCTGGAAAGGGACGTTACGACGAAGAATCTAAGGTGGCTAGGAGTGTGCAAGGTTGAAATAGTCTGCCCAGAGTGAAAAGTCCAGCTGGTCTGAGCTTTTGGAATTGTGAAATTCAGCGCGGTGAGCACATCCTTAAATGTACCTCTACTGGTGTCAGCCCAACTTGTCTCACAAGAGCTAAGCCACCACTTGCAGCTCAGGGCGCAGGATACGGAGTGCATATTCCAGCACTTCACATCCAATCATCTGGATCAGGCTGCAGCACTCGAGCGGTGAGCCAACTGTGCAGATTCCATGGACAGTATGCGAGGACAGACTAATCATTTGATCAGACTTTCTCACTCGGCACATAATACTTTCGGTGATGCATTTCGAAAGTATATTGGTGCCAAAATGTGTTCTTATGCTAAATACTCCAACTAAATCGCCAACCACTTTAAGAACAACCGTGATCCATCAGCCAAATCTATCGTGAACAATACCATAGAGATTGCTGAGTACATAGACATGACTGCGGATAGTCACTGAAGAAGACCCATTTGCGTAGGTGAATTCTTCTTGGAGATCCTCCAGAGGTTACTGTAACCAAACCTTTGCTCTGAAACGGAGAGTCTGGGGCCCGTGAACCCCGTCAATCCTGCTACATACACAGTGAACCATTGCATCAGGCGTTCAAAGGAATTTTGAACTGATTCAGGGCTAGGATAATCGTGAGGCGTGTCACATAGTCGGGTAATGTGTATATATTCCTCACTCGAGCGTAATTCTTCATGTTCAATTGTCCATTCATAACCCACATATCTGGTAACTACAAACGAACAGCTTCCCACAAACCACTCGTCAGTTAGAAACAGCCAATATGTGTACCGAACAGTTCAAGGTCTGTTATCCATGCGGTCATAGGGTGTCACTTTGGTGGATTTGTTGCAAGCCTTGGTTGCGATCAAGCCCATCGTCTCAAGCTATCGCCGAGCTTGAATTCGAACCATCTATCTTGTAGCATCTGCGACCAGATCGCCGAGAAGAAGAGGGAAGGGTAGAGAGAAGAGGGTGAATGTAGCACGGAGTAGGTTCCTTGTAAGCAACCTTTTGTTCTGATGCAGGGACTCATGAGACCTCTGATTCCGGCAACAATGTCATGAACAGATGCTAGAAACGCGAATGCAGTTCAGAGTGATCAATAGTCAAGATGGGTGTGAAACATCTAGGGGAAACCTATAAGTTCACGGCTTAAGCGCCAATTTCTTTCATCAGTCATAGCACACATTCTTCATCACAACATCAGAGAATACAACAACGGGATCAACATCTTACTAAGAACGCAAGCACACAAAAACCGCTTTTTTTTTTTGGAAACACTTCTCACCCATCTCAAGCCAAAAATGTGCACCAAATATATCAAAACATGTCTTGTATGCCATCATAAGCAGTTGATTAGGTGGAGCCAATGCGATCCCTATACTCTCTGGCTCGCACTTGGTCAAGATCCCGCCTCAACCGAACCTAGTGCCGCCGGACATATTGAGTTGGGTCTTCCAGACATCGACGAAGTGGTAATGGATTTCTTCGCATCAACGCCATGTCCCAATGATGCATGCCCGAGTAATAATCGAGGAAGGGAGGAGGAGAGAAGGTGAGCTGGATATGAGAGAGGATCCTTAGCAATGAATTATTACACTAGCTATATATCACAAGAAATTCTATAACCATGTGAACTTCGAGCTTCCCTAGTCATTTTGAATGGTCTGAGCTTGTGTCTTTAATTAGTTGTGGATCTTTTCTCGGTAACCGATCCATGCTAGCCGCATTGTCATAGTGACCCCTGAGTCTATTCTACCAATAGTCAGAATTAGCATCAGAAACTTCGGTGATTACTCTGCACAATCATCGCTTACTGCTTCCATCATGTTCCGACCCAAAGAGCCCTTTGAGGGTCAAGAAACAATAGACGCACATCTCATTGGAACCAGTGATGAAGGTACAAGTGTGTTATCGTCACAATGCGTCAAATTTGCGAAAGATCGGCCTGACGATTTTACAAATTATTTGCTATGTGCGTGGAAACGAGATGGCGCTGTTATTCGAGAGCATAAAGAGCTATTGAAAGCATTACAAAACGTCGAGGTAACACGAAAAGATGGCGAAACTAGTCTCTTGAGGGAATTCTACCTCCCACTTCCGAAACTCGTTTTCTTACAGGCCCGATATATGCTCCCGCATGAGACCTTCAAATTCTTAGATCTTGATCCCAAACTGTCGTCAAGTACGGATCTTGGACCATGGATATTTCTTCGAGATGATATCAAAGTCGAGGCGACAGATGACGAGTGGTTCTACCTCTCTCTCCTTCACTATGTACAGACACAGAACAGCGACGGGAAAGTAGAGTTTCCACGACGGGTTTTCGAGTTGTATCTACGATTACAGGCTGTCTGTGAAGCTGGTGGGGAGAGAATCAAAGTTGAAGTCAGGTAAACCATACCTGTGACTGCTAGTACAACTCATTCTAATAAAGGCTTTCAGAAACTGGTTGAGGGAGCAGCCACTTATCCTTACACCCAGCGGGTGGAAAACTGCCAGCCAGTGTTATGTCAAAGCCCCGAGGAATCCATCTAGGGTGATCTCTGACTCAACGCTTCTCCCGCCACCCAAAGAATGGGAAGTCTCCAGTTTCGAACGCCCCGCTCTTGAGAAGTTCTACAGGGAAACGCTAGAAGTCCTGGATGGAGAAGTTGAGTCAATTCTCTTGGAGTTCGGCAAAGAACCTGATTTCAAGAGGGCGAAACAGTTGTATCACGCTCTGCAGACGATGGAACCAGGCCTAACGAATGATGATATCAAGCGAATTAGGTAATGATACCTGAACCTGTAGAAACTCGTAAACTGACATTGATGCAGGTCATTTTTCAAAGACAAGCCACGCCTCTTGCTGTCTGAGAAAAGTACCGAGAGGTTCCTTTCGACTGAGTGCGTCTGGGCACCAAAGTTTACAAGTCCGCGCAATGCGAGCGAGACTTGTCCAGAGCTGGAATCATTCTTCACCGAACTCTTAGGAGTTTCAAAAACCGACATCAACGTTGTCTACCAGGAGCTTGTTGACTTTGACTACCGGATGATGCTCGATCCCTACGACTCACTCGATGAAAAGATTAAAAGGCTTCTCATACAACTGAGTGAAAGGCTTCCACAATTCGGACATTTAATCGACAAGGAAGATCTCCGTGAGAAGCAGATATTCCCAGTATATGGAAAAGACAAGCGAGTGCGGTTGTTCCCAGTCTCGAAGCTCTTTTACATCCTTGACAAGGAATATCTACATCATAGCTTCAGAGGAAAGGCAGACGTCCTTGATATTGATCACACGACCTTTTGGTTGTTAGAACCTTTCTTTATCTGGATGGGGCTTCAAAGCCGGTATCTCAGAAACAATCTTATCATGGAACCTGCTTCGATTACACCTGGTGTAGTTAATTACGAGTCAACCCCAACCCTTGATCAAGAGCGAGTTGATGGACTCTTACGGTAAGAACTAATCCCCCAGATATTACTCCATTGCCTAACACATAAAAGCCTCGCGGTTCATTTCAGGAGCTCCCGTACAAGGAATGCAGAAGAGATAGCCTCTGTTGAGCGACAACTGCTATTGACCAAGGTCTATTACGTGGATGAGGGCGACATTAAATGCACCGTATCCATCAAGGGACTTCCCTCAACGACTTATAAAACTCCATTTCCCCCATTCTGCATCAACAAACGTCGAAATAATGGGTTAAATATCTACGTCGCAAAAAAGTCAGCTGAAGTTACGACTTCAGTTGAACTACCTCGCTCTTTGGCAGCGTGGTTGATGGGAGATCGAGATCCCCGGCATCCAGATACAACGCAGGTCGACCCAAGACTCATCTATCTCGTGGGAACTATACTCAGAGTTAGACATTATAAACTTTCTGCTATCAAAGATATTCTGGATGGAGAAGGGATTGTTGATGTTGATAAACTGCAATGCTCTATTTATCATCCCCAGAGCTGGTGAGTTCTTGGGATAATTATCGTTGATAGCCATTGCTAACCGCATGACAGGAAGCAAGAGTACGTTCAGTTGTTCTCCGCTCAGCCGCCTTCGCTCATGTCTAGTCGTTCAACTCTGGACTCTAGTCGCACTTCGACACCAGCGCAAGTGGACGGCTTGACTCGACATACTTCATTTGGGTTGGGAGGCAAGTCAAACAGCAACGGGTTTGGGAGTAGGCTGGAGGGCAACTAGCCGACATATTTTTGAATTCATAATCGCGATGTCTTGTTACACCGCCACTCATCTCTGGCGGATCTCCGCATTAGTTTAATGCCTAACCTGAACGCTGCCGCTTCCTAGCACCATCATCGGCTTGGTCGACGTCCTCCATGAGCTCGCTGTCTTTATCAAGTTTCGTCCACTTGTCCTTTCCATCAGGAATGTCAACCACTCTCTGCGTGTAGAAAATGTGGCACCTTAAGTTGTTAGCCCTATGTGAATCCTTGTTTTTAGTAACATAACTTACTGTGGCTGGAAGTTCTCCCTCAATTGAGGCGTGTCCAAGTTCAAGAGCGTAGGGAACAAAAGAACCATGTTTCGTCCCTCATCCATGATCCAGCTTCCGCACTCGGCGCAGCCGACCTTGCAGGGAAGAACATGCTCATTCTTCTTAGTCGAAGTCTTGTAGAAGCGAAGGTTCTTGACACCGTTCTCAAAAGAGAGGTCTGTCTTTTTGAAGATAGCCGCCCACTGGAAAGGAGCACCTGAAATCTATTAGCCACTGAAAATATGGTTTATCATTGAGTGGAGTACCGTGGATCTTCTTGCAGTCTATGCAATGGCAGTACTTTGACGCAAGAGGCTTGTCGCTGTTCAGCCAATACTGCACTCTACCGCAGTGGCATGAGCCATGAACTTTCTTTTCAAAGTTCTCTCGCTTCTCGGTAGCTTCATCAGGTCTTGTGTAGGGAGGTTGAGTTTCCCAATCATCATGGTTGTCATGGGCGAATTCATGCTTGTGCCCCTGCATATGCTTCTCGTCGTCGTCAGCGCCCATTGTGATAGATAGATATGAGAATTCTTGGCAACAAATAAATAAAGTTGGTACCTAGATCTAGATTGAAAATGATACGAGATCTAGAATTAACGAAAATCTGGGGTTTTGTAGAAACGGTCGCGTGCCCTTGATCGACGTGGCGCACGGTTGTCGTCATAGATATATCAAGATGACAAGTCCCCATCATGACCCTCATATTTTTTTTGCTTCTCCCTCTCGGTCTGATCACTCGCTAGGACCATTTCCTCCCTCGATCTATGCACTATTCAACATGTCATTGATCATCTTGGCCCACTTCCATGGCTCCCCGATCTCCGGACTGGCCTCCGTGACACTGTTGTAATACTCCCAGCCCATTACTCCCCCGATCCTCGGGTACCTGCTCACCAACTCTTTGAGACACGCGCGCAGCTTTGCTTCTTTTACGTGCCCGGAGCAATTAGCTGGATTTGTTACCAGTCCGATGACGACTTTTTCCTGTGGCCAGCCGCGCGCGATTATCGTGTCGTAGTCGTGTGCTTTGCTCATGTCACCCCAGCCGCAGTAGAATTGCGTGTTGTACCACGCGATTCGCGAGCCAAGTCCCTTTTCTAGCTCTTCCATGTTGAAGCCTCCGAGGTTCTGCCTGTTAAGCAAAGCTGGTGCGACGGGCGCGAGGGTGATGAGGAAGGATTGTCCAAAGTCTGTCTTAAGGTGATCAATCAGACGGACGACGCCTCCAAGCGACATGGCCTCTTCAATATCGAGGTCAAGTCCGTCGAAACCCGCCCACGCGATCATCTTGCGCAACGGTTGATACCATCTATGAAAACCCTCCAGCGACCCGTCCATCTTGGTGTATGATCCTTGAGCTGCGCCTCCGAGCATGCCGAGTACTTTTACACCGGCTGCTTGAAGCTGACGGACTTCATCCCAGAGTGGAATGAACTTGTCTGCATCATACAGATCATCGTTGAGGGTAATGCGCTCAGGCGTGTTGAGGTGAATAGCCGCGACAATGACGTGGGTGACTCCGGTGGCTGGGAGAATTGTGGGTTGAAGTGAGATGTATTTATTGTCTTTGTATTGCGTCTGATGGTAAAATATGATTCGCTTATAAGGCTTCGGCTTCGAAGCAGGATCAGTGTGAGGAACGAGCATTTTGTTTGCGAGACGCTTATACTGTCGGAAGACGCGGTGCTCCAAGTTCGGCAGTGTTGGTAGAGTCAAGCCACCAAAATTAGAGTCCCTCATTGGCCTGGCAGGGTATGAGCCGGATTTAGCAGTTCTCGAGCCGCTTATATTGAGTTTGATGACTTTACCTCAGGAAGCGACAAAACTCCAGGCCTTGGATTACAGGATCAAAAAAGAATAAATGGTCTAAAGGTCTTGTAAGTTTAGGCAAAGTTTGCCTAAATCTGTTCAAAACTTAGGATTGAGGTACTATGCTTTCTTGCCTCCTAGCCCTATTCAGTCTCAGCGAATAGATTAAGACAGCGCTTTGTAAAGAAGGCGAGATTCTCACTGAGGGCACTATGAGACATGGATACATTTTCTATATAGGTGAGTAATCATTTGTAACTTGAAGGGTTGTGACGTGTCCATTGCGCAACACGTATCCATATGGAGATCAAATATACCACTGTTACAATCACTGACAAACACCGCTATAAAATCTGTCAACAATACAGCTGACTAGATATCTACAGTCGATCACGGTGGTAGCTTTTCGAAAACTACAGATCTTTCCGTCCATTCAATACACAGAGACAAGGGCTATTCCTGTCAGATAAGATACGTCGGATGTGACAGATAGACTTTAAGGCCCTCATAAATGTCTATCTCTTATGCCAATTCCATATTGTGGATAATCTCGGCTATGCTAACTCATAAGGACTTGTAGAAACACTACATGACTGCCAGGTTGCACGTATTTCTTATCTTGTCGATCACGATATCGCCGAGGTTGGAGATCTTTGTCTGACACGGCAATTTGAACCCAATTTTCGACATGTTTATCAGTTCTGAATGAAGAGAATCTTGATATATTTAAAAACATAAAACGTTCAGATAACTTCTATACCAATTTCTGTATTTCTGAATTAGACGTCGTATCAATGATCAAAGTTCAACCCCTCTCAAAGTCAACAACCTTGATGCTACATGACCCCACTATCCCCAACTCAAGTCTTGCCAGCTTCCTTATTAAGCTAATCTCTTCCGTGCCAAGACATCGTTTTCTTGTTGATTCCCCCCCGAATTCATGCTTAAATCTATGCTAGTTCTCTAATGCTTGACGATCTTTTGAATCTGAGGGGAAATTGAGCGCGGAAGCAAGAAGTAGGGCCGTACGTAATGAGCTCCCTCTTTAGGACCCAGCCTCTGACCATGTAGGCTATAAAAACACGTATTTCCCTCGTCGATCGGGTTGCGTAGAGGTTACCCAGCTCTTGATCTCAAAATGTTACGAAAGACAATCTTGGTCGGCCTTACGGCTGCCTCTGCTGTCAATGCCTTTCAATATGGCTACAACCACGTAACCGTCCGGAAAGATATTCCTTTGGTGGCAGCGAATTTCAAGGATGTCGACATCGATCTGTATTCTCCGGCCTTCCTCGATCCTGAGAGTCGACAGGCAGGTTTTAAGAACGGAACTCAAGGGCCGACCTCTCACGAAGATATGGGTATGCATATATCAGAGCACACCGATGAACCCACGCTGACAACATGCAGAGGCTTATATGGAAGGCATTGCTTCGAAGAATGACTACATGACCTACCAAACAGCAAACTTCACATCCGAAGAACTGAGGTCATTCCCATTCGTCAAACTCTCGTCTTCGAAGGGCCCAAAGACTACAGACAAGGTCCGAGTTTGGGTTCAAGGCGCAGTACACGGCAACGAGCCAGCTGGTGACCAATCACTCCTCGCGCTCCTCGGCAAATTCAACAAAGATCCCAAATGGGCCTCCAAGATTCTCAAGAATCTCGATATTGTCATTTTGCCCCGGTACAATCCCGATGGCGTCTACTACTTCCAGCGCGTGCTTGCTACGAATTTCGATCCTAACCGCGATCATACTAAGCTGGCACGACAGCAGACTCGTGATATCAAGCAGCTTTTCAACGAGTTTGCTCCACATGTTGCGATTGATATGCATGAGTATGGTTCATCAAGTCGATATGGTAACTACGTTCAAGCCTCGGATGGTTTGTTTTCTGCTGCGAAGAATCTGAATATCAACAAGAATATTCGAGAAATCTCTGAGAAGCTGTTTGCCAAGAACATTGGCGATGCTATGGTCAAGGCTGGGTTGAGATGGGAGCCGTATGTGACTGGAAGGACTAGCACTGATCCTAATTACGTGCCGAAGTAAGTCTTATGGTTTTCGTTTTACATTCCCATCACTAACTTGCAAAAGGTTCGATGAAGCTGGCTCTGATGCAAAGATTGGTCGCAATGCAATGGGTCTCACTCAATCCATCACATTCCTGATCGAGATGCGAGGAATTGGTCTAGCAGACCAAGAATTCCAACGTCGAACTGCAGCTGGCTTGACTATGGCTAGCTCCATCATCGAAACTGCTTCAAATAACGCCCAGAAAGTCTTCAAGACTGTGGAGGGCGGTATCAAGGATTTCATCAAGTCCAAGGAACCTATCGTCATCACTGACTCAACAAAGTACAGCACGCGGATGTTCCAGATGATTGACTACACAAACGGCTCAATCGTCAAAGTTCCTGTTCAGTTTGCGTCTACTACACCAACAACTGCAAACCTAACTCGCTCTCGACCAGAATCGTATCTCATCCCTGTTGCTTGGGCTGATATCGCTAAGCGCCTTGAGGTCTCTGGCCTGGAGGTCGAAACTCTTAGTAAACCCTGGAGCGGTACAGTTGAAGCATTGAATATTACATCTTCGGAGCTCAGCAGTTCGTACTACGAGGGAGCTGTACTTGCTACTGTTACGACTGAAACCAAGAAGCGACAGCTTACTCTGCCAGCTGGTAGCTTTCTGGTCAGCACCAGGCAAAAGAACGCGGGTCTGGCTCTGAATGCTTTGGAGCCTGAGAATATTGATTCTTATGCCAGCTTCAACATTATTCCTCTCGAAGTTGGAGATGAGTATCCCATCTTTAGGGTTGTCAAGGATTAAGAAAGGAGTTACATGCGACATATTCTAATGGTCGTCTTCTTGTCAAAGAAAAGATCATATGTAGATTTTGAACATATACAATCAAATATAAAAGATCGCACATTGGATGTTACCCTTGGTTTTACGATTGCTAAGATATCAGACCAGTATGCTAAATATCCCAAATACATCACTGAAGTTCCCTTTCCCTTCACCCTTCAAGCCACAATGGAAACTCTGACTTGAAGGATATGGAATTTCCTCTTCTCAACTTCATGAATGGATATCTATCGGATATCAGTTTGGCGAAGTACCGGCACGGCATTCGGTATCTTTTGCCGACCCCCGTATCTAGCCTCAACTACCCTCCACCAAGCCAAAATACTACTATTCCAAATTCAGAAGGCCGATGGAGACGATGCTGCCGTGTAACAGCTGTAAGGTCATTTATCAATAGTTATCATGAACTTTCGTGTCATTGGATACGTCTCCTCACTTTTATTTCCTCTTTGGGATGTAGCTATCTCGAAGACGATAGCTGAGTGTGGAGAGTAGCTCATACATATCATCCGATATCGCCAATTCTGTCTTCTCAACTCCCTCACATTCCTTCTCTTACCTATATATTCATATTCACAATGAGGCTTCTTACCCGGCAAACTGCATATACGACCGCAAGAACCGCCCTTTTAAACAAAACAACACTCTCCAGCTTCAGCCGTGCTGGCGTTTCAACACTTCACGCCAAGATCAACAGCCCGCCTCCAAGAATCGTCAAAAGTCAAGGATGTTGGTTAGAAACAGACCAAGGTCATCGAATTCTGGATGCATCTTCAGGTGCAGCTGTTGTATCGATCGGGCATAATGAATCGCGAGTCAAGGATGCCATTGCTGTTCAATTGGATCAGGTAGCATATTGTTACAACCCATTCTTCACGACAGAAGCAGCAGAGAAGATTTCTAGCTTCTTGACTGAGTCTACCAATGGGGCTATGTCGAAGGTTTTCATCGTCAGCTCAGGTACGATTTGTATTGAGATTATATAATTCGGCAGTCTCTAACAAGAATTCTAGGCACTGAAGCTGTTGAAGCAGCTCTGAAGATCGCTCGTCAGTACTTTACAGAGCTACCAACACCACAACCATCCAGGACGAAATTCATTGCTCGAAAGCAATCTTATCATGGAAACACTCTTGGATCGTTGGCTGTGGGAGGCCATAAGGCCCGACGTGGAGTGTACGAACCAATCCTTGCAACCAATGTCTCTCATGTTTCTCCATGCTATCCTTATCGAGAGATGAAAGCAGACGAAACAGAACAGCAATATGTTCAACGTTTAGCTAAGGAGCTAGACGACGAGTTCCAGCGCGTCGGTCCCGATACTGTTTGTGCGTTTATCGCTGAAACAGTATCTGGAACATCATTGGGTTGTGCGCCTCCGGTTACTGGGTACTTCAAGGCTATCAAAGAAGTATGCGATCGTCACGGTGCTCTTCTGATTATGGATGAAGTCATGTCTGGAATGGGAAGAACTGGCACGCTACATGCTTGGGAGCCGGAGGGTGTAGTGCCAGATCTACAGACTGTTGCAAAAGGACTGGGGGCTGGCTACATGCCCGTGGGAGCCTTACTTGTTGGTAACAAAGTTGCAGATGCTCTTGCTAACGGGTCAGGAGCTTTCTCTCACAGTCAAACTTATCAGGGCCATCCTGTTGCATGTGCAGCCGCGTATGCTGTGCAGACTGTTATGAGAGAAGATAATATGCTGCAAAATGTGCAGAATATGGGGAAAGTACTGGGTGAGAAGCTTAAAGAGAGGCTAGGAGGTCACAAGAATGTGGGAGATGTCCGTGGAAGAGGGCTTTACTGGGGGGTAAGTCGAAGTATCGATAGTCCAAGACTTTGCTAACCGTGTCCAGTTGGAATTTGTTCGGGATAAAGAGACAAAGGAGCCTTTTGATCTGAGCGAACAAGTGGCTGGAAAGTTGCACAAGGCTGGTCTAGGAGCTGATCATGGCATTTCATTGATTCCAAGTACCGGCTGCCTTGATGGTGTTCGAGGAGATATGGCGATCGTCTCACCTCCTTTTACAATCACAAAGGAGGAGATCGAGATATTAGTTGACAAGGTCGAGAAAGTAGTTATTTCTGTCCTGGGCGCATAGACGACTGCATTACAAAGCTATCCATCGAATAATCACATTATAAAAGCCTGTGTCGGTCCACCAAGCAAACTTGTCCACCGAACCGAAGACTGCGACGCCCAAATCTCCTTAACCTGATCAATAGCCCTCAATAAATTCCAACACCCAGTCGTATTGTGCAACTTGACCAACTTATCCAAAAAGAACTCTCTATGATCCGGCGTCGAGCTCTCAGCCGCTACGATGAAATACGGCCAAGCTAGAAGGTGTCTTCCCACGATATCGACATAAGCGTCGACTTGGCCAAGTGATTGTTTGAATCTCTCGATCATGGGGACGGTTTCGGAGGGCGGGGGGTTGAAAATGGCGCGTTGGACGTAGATGTCGCAGGCCCATGTCGTGAGGGAGGCGAGTTGGGAGAGAAGGTCTTTTAGTTCAGGGTGGAAGCGGTCGCACCATGTTATGAATTCGAGACAAGCTTGTTGTTGAGCTTGGATGAAGTGGACGCCGTTTGTTTCATTGAAGAGAGATTCTCCAAAGAGACAGACTCTGAGGAGATGTTAGCGTTTTCTGATCAGTTCAATAGGTGTCCCCTGATTATGCATACCTCAGTATCTGCATCTGCAGAAACCTCCTGAGGTCAGAGGTTCTTTTGTCCGTATTCTTCGCCAGTGTGTTGACGACTACCCGCAGCGAACCATAGATAAGCCGAAAGTTATCACTTCCACTGATCATCTCCCGAATATGCAGAAGAAGCAACGCAGTGAGGGCAGAATCATCATCTTGAGGTGCACACTGATGAGACCGCATGATCAGTTCTCTGACGAGAGATCCATAAGCAGTTGGATCTAGTGATATTGGAGCTCCGTTCTGTAAAGAGAGATGTTGTTCGACAACAAGAAGAACTGCCTTTCGGACTAGAGGGTCCGTCTCTGCTCTTGGTAGCACGAGATCGCGGTAGCCGTTGAAGCCCATGTTTATGACAGCGATGAGTTGGGCGATGTTATTTGAGACTTTGCATGATTAGATGATGTCAAGGACAGGGAAGGGAGACTTACAGTAGCCAAGACAGAACCTGGACTTTGGATCAACGTGATCTAAGCCCCAGTCGATAGACACTGGTACGTGATTTGACACAACCAGATCTTGTATCTCATGTTCTTCCTCAGTTGCAGTATCAGGTTCAACTGGGTATTGCTCAATAGTCTCATAGCCACTTGCACGAAAAGGATCATGCTGTCTCTTGCAACTTGAGACTGACGTCGTCACCATCTCCGTAGAATGGGCTTCTACCCCATCAATGACAGGCAATGATTTACCAACAAACTTTCCACGTGCAGCAATTCCATCATTGAAGCGATATCGTAGACCTAATCCACTGCACTTGATGCCTTTGGCAGAGCATTTGCCACATGTTGGCTCGCTCCGATCACAGTCTATGCGTCGACGAGAGCATTGATAGCATCCTGACAGTTCGGTTAGCCACTACTGGTCAGTTTACTATGGATCATGTATATAGTTACCTCTGACTTTCGGTCTTTTCTTAACTTTGTCCGACTTCGGAGGCGTTGCGGAGGGCATTGAGATGAGTTCCGGGTGTTGCGGGGATACGGTGATGTACGTGATGCGTGGCTGTGTCGCTGAAAACACGCCTTGTTGTTCAAGGGAATGGCACCTCGAGGTATCTTATTGACTTATAACAGGATTGTGATGAGTCTGAGGTAGCAATCGATGAAGGAGTCTGGTATCGCAATCAGCGAATTGTCGTTATCGCGTTGAGATACCAACGAGATGCTATTTCGAGTTAGTGCATGCCCTTCGCCCTGGCGTACAGGGCGGGGTAAGCTATCCCCTTGTAGGAAATTCAACACGAAGATCGAATCGCCATTGATAGGCTAGGCATTGAGAATTGATAAGTACTAACTTTTATCGTCTGTCGATAGACTGGCTATTCGTCAAGCATATCCTTAGACAATTATTTCCTGCGTGATATTGGAAGGACAATATCCTTCATGTGGGTGAGAATATGCTAAAGTCATTAAGTCTTCCGGCTGAAAATAAGATATTGCTATAAATCCAGAATCTCTAGGAACACATAAACATGGGAAATATAAGAGGTCACTCAAAAAGATTCTCCTTGAGAGTTGCAAGAAGAGGCGGCATATCTGGTTGTCAATATCCAACTAGCTACTTCTTATGGAGAGTAACACAGTGGCAAAGGTCACAAAAGCTGGACGAGCTGCCTTTCATGAGAAGTAAAGAGCTTCATTATAGACTGAATGCACCGTACGTGAAGGGGTATGATCCATCAAATAGTTTCTATATGGTAAACTAACTGGGGATTCTTAACTCTATCGTTCTATTGCTGTAATCACTGCTATGGCTTCATAGACCTCCTCGCCACCCAAAACTGCGCATTATATGCACTCTTTGTCAAAGCCTTGTTGTTAAACCCATAAACAGCTTCCATACTTCTAAGCGTCCTCCCCTCAAGCGTCAACGGTCCACAGCTCTCATCTGTATCAAGATACTCGAACCCCATCGCCTCAGTAACCTGAACAATCTCCTCCAGCGTCAATTGCACAAACGGCCCAGTTCCGTAAAGCAAAGGTCCAAGGTTCACCCAGTGTCCACCTGGTTTCAGAACCTTTTTGATGGTGTCGAGATAACTCATCAAGTTGCGAGCTGTGTCGATGAAGAAGTATGTTATTATTATGTCGTAATAGTGGGTTTTGTCGTTGAAGACGGTTGTGAAATCGCCTTCGATGAGGACTACGGATGTTGAGTTGAGGGATGTGTCGGGGAAAGTCAGTTCTCGAATCATGTCGGATTCAGTGGCGTGGTGAGACCAGCCGTCGATGAAGGGGTGGAAAGAGTGGGTGTTTTGAGCGCGGTTGGCTTCGATGAAACGGTAGGCGATGTTCATATACATGGACCATTCATTCACGGTCACCTCGAACCCTGAATATGTTAGCACCGAAGGAGTATCTCGAATAGCAGGTCTAAGTGTTGTGAAACTCTATTGCCTGCTGAGGAGCCTTACCTCCAAGTCTCGCGATATCATGTCCAAGTCGTCCCAATCCCGATCCAGGAACAAGAACCTTGACCGGATTCTCATCATCTCTCACAGGAAACAACCCCTGAAGTGTTTTCACGAGGCAAGCGAAAGTCTCCTTTCTCTCAGACTCTCCCTCTTCTGTCCAGTCTCGCACATAATGCTTCAAAGCTTGAGATACGGAAATCTTATCCGCAAGCCTCCCTGAAGACTGTGCGGCACTAATATGCCTCTGAAGCTCCTCTTCATCGATACCGTAGAAGTTCATTGCATGTTTAACTATGGCGTCACATAGCTCTTGGTTCTTCTTCAAAAGAGCGTCTATGCGAGTGAACTTCTTCGAGTAGTTGACTTGATGCTCTAGTAACTTTGATCATGTTAGACTTCGAATGTACATGTGAGCATGGCAGACTCACAGATCTTTGAGCTCGAGAGACATGTTTATAAAGACCCTCAAAGCGGTCAACTTCAGCTTTCTGACGCTCATGGTATCTCCTGTATCCATACAAGGCATCAAGCAACCGATGTCTTGGGTGCTGAGCATTCCAATTCCCCCATCCTATCGCCATGGTCTTGTCGAGCTTCTTCTTGGCTTCGACATGACGAGGGGTATCGGGGTTACATGAGAACTGCTCTAGTGAAGTGACAACAGACCCAGACTGTGATTCACGGGTTAGCTGGGGGAATGTGGTTGTCGCAGTGAGCATTCTCTTGCGTAGTTTGTATGCAGCGACGAGGAGAAATAGCAGGAGACAGACCAGGTTGGGGATGGAGGCGAGATCAGGGTTGTTTTGTTTCAAGGCGTCTACCTTGATGTTCTCGTCTGCAGCTGTGCATGGCGGTACGAACAGGAGGGTGAGGGCAAGCAAATGTGGCTTCATGCTGGAGGGAGTGCAGTGCAATAGAGGGGTTTGAAGGAAATGATGTGCATTCACGTTGAATAACGAGAGTTTCGAGGTTATCAGGGTTACGAGTGGCCTCAATGGCGTATACTCACTCATCAACAAGTACCTACCAGCCCTTGTCGAGGAATAAAAAAATAATGGAGAGTTGCCTGATTCGTTTCTTGGCCGAGCTGGCACTGTGAGTGGCAGAGTGGGTACGAATATTAGTGGTCGTTAGGTAGTGGGGTTGTCCAGGGGATCCAGTTTTTAAGGTGAGGACCTTGATGGGCTTTGCCAAGAGAAGCCTCACGATGAGCTACAGTACAGGGACTCGACATCAACGACAGGGACTTGAGGGTCTTTTTGATCGTGATCCTTTAGGCTATAGAGACGTTTTATTTACTGGTGTGGGCAATGTGACTGGTTGTTATTGATATTAGAGGGTGATGAGTACCTGAATGGCATCCCTCCGCTCAACTGGCTTGCACTTACACGAGGATGTTGGAATGCATCTTGACAGACGGTGACAACGGTTAAACCGACATCTCAAAGCCCAGCTGAGCGATCCAAGTCGAGGTCAATACGTTCCAGTAGTCTCTGTAGAGCTCGTAATACCCCCACGCGCCGACAATGGATCTCCCAATGCGTCCATTATTCCCTCTCCGACAGCCCGTTCCTTGCTAGTCCAACACTTGCATCCTACGAACCTCGCAAGTGGCAATGCAATTCTCTTGGCAGAGCCTGTGAATCACTCTCACTCCCGTTGCAAGGGATATAAAAATTTCCTCTCCCGCCTGGATCTCACTGACATCCTCTCGCTCACATCAACATCTACGTCTCTTGCAAACATCAACATCTGCAACTCTCACAAGCACCAAGATGAAGACCACCACTTTCGCCGTCGCCCTTCTCAGCTTCTTCCCTGCCATCATGGCTCAGGCTCCCTCGCCTACTGAGTCTGTTGGTTGTGAACCTCATGGTGATCACTGGCACTGCGAGGGTCCTCGTACTGATGCTGCTGCTGCTACCTCTGAAGCTGAGCATGATCACGACCACGATGATCCCACTGGCACTGGTTCTCT